GCGGGAAAAATGTCGACGTTTTGAAAAAAAAAAAATTTTAAGGCACAGATTTAAATAAAAAAAAAATATGGACGACAACAACAACAACAACAACAGCAGAAGACAACGATATCGTTATAAATTATTATTAAAATCGATGATGTAAAAAAAACAAATTAATTTAATAAATATTTTCTAGGTTAAAAAGTCAAAGGTTAATATCAATTTATTATAACTTTGATTTTTTATTTAATTTTTTCGTCGAACGTTTTAATAATAATAATAATAATTAAAGATCGAAAAATGAAATTTAAAAAAGTAGTAATAATAATAATAGCATCGATTTTAAAAAAGGTAAACCGGAAAATAAAATTTAAAATTAAAAAAAATTTTTTTTTTTTGTATATAATAATAATGAACGAACCTTAAAGGAAAATTCTTTGATCCATGAAAAAAAGCCATTGAACGAATATTTGTATGTTGTAAACCAGATGAAAATCAACAAAGGACGGGCGTTGAACTTAAGAGAGAGAGAGAGAGAGAGAGAGAAAGAGAGAGCAAAAAAAATCTGTCATTTTGTTACATATATAAGTAACCAGCCAGCCATATGTGTGTGTGTGTGATTTTCATCATTTCCTCACCTTTTCACTTTTTTTTTTTTTTTAAATTAATATTTAATCTACCCTCTACCACCACCACCACCCCCTCCCTTATCACCTTTCCTACCCCTCGACCGTAAAAAAAAAAAAACAATCGTTAACGATTTGATAAAAACAACCGTGCTTTACGGTTATGCAAAACTAATATGGCAAATTTCAATTAATGATTGATTTAAAAATTAAACAATCGTTTGCGTGCGTACCTGGAATATAAATAAAAAACCTTAAAAATAAACAAAAAACACGGAAATAAACGAGATGTTCTCTATCGATTCCATGAGAGCGTTCAAAAAGTCAATGAACGAGTAAGGAAGTGAATTCAAGTGAAAGCGTTCAAGTTACACACACACACACACACCAGGGTCATATTTTGTCGGTTACAAAAAACTTTTTTTTTGCCAATTTACTTTACCATTATTATTATTATCATTATTATTATTATTATTATTATTATTATTGTTTTGCACGCGCGTGCGTGCGTGTAACGTTAAAAAAAAAAAGTTACGATTCGAACGTTTCGATTCAATAATAAAAAAAAATTTTTTTTTTTTTGTTTGTTGTAATGCGGTTTTTTCTTTTCTTTTCTTTTCGAATGGCGGGAAATTTAAATTTTTTTTGTTTATTTTTCCATAGAGTAGTGAAAGTTTTTTTAATTATCGAAAAATATTTAATAACTTCCTCTTTGGATGTATTTTCCGGTCGACGAACTGTTAAATGTAATAAAGAATTTTTCGTTTTAAATTCGTAGAAATTTTTGCAAATGTTGTGGTATTTAAAACCGGAAATGAATTCACCGGAAATAAAAAAAAAAAAATCACCCACGCCTTACAACAATTCAGGTTTTATAATTGTTGTTAATAATAAAAATGCCAATGATGATGATAATAATTATTATTATTTCGTGAGTTAAAATAAAAAATAAAAAAAAGCGGATGGAATTTTTTAAAACTCTAAAAAAAAATTTACCGGAAAAATTTAAAAAAAAAATTCGATTTTTTTCTCGTTACTCGGGGGGTAGGGGGCCGTAGGGAGTGGGGGGAACATAAACAAACATTGTGACAACAACAGAATTTTAAAAAAAATAAAAAATTATCACACTTACATTTTCGATACGTTGATCCTTTGATTTCCCACATAAACGTCATCATCATCATCGTCCTCATCATCATCATCACCATCATCATCATCATCATCATCATCATCATCGTCGTCGTCGTAATCATGGAAAAAAATGACGAAGTTGAAAAATATTATTATTCCAACGTAGACTATTTTCCTATATTGTTGTTGTTGTTGTTGTTGTTTTTGTTGTTGTTGTTTTTCCTTAATCTTAACGTTCATGCTAACTAAACAGCTAACATTATTTGTACATAAACAAACGAAATAATAATAATAATAATAAAACGAAACTTTTTATTTTTATTATTATTATTAATATTTCTCACATTTTACTAAAAAAACAAAAAACCTGACCCCGGAATTATTTGCAAAAAAAAAAAAAAAAAAAAAAAAATTAGCATTAGAATGAGTTCATATTAGCAATAATAAAATGTCACTTTTACTTTCGAAAAAAAAAAAAAAAAAAAAACACTCACCGGAAACGAAAAAAAGAGAAATTGAACTTTCATTTTTAGCGTTTGAATAATTTTCTTTCTTTCCTAAATAATAATAATAATACTTTCTACTACTACTACTACTCCTACTACCACCACCACTACTACCTTTAGGATATACTATTGCTATTATAATAGAAGATTATTCTGATAACCCTAAGGTAGTTATTATAATAATAAGGCTCGAGAGAGAGAGAGAGAGAGGGGGGGAGTGAGAGAGAGAGGTACGCCTACAATATACAGGTTCTAGGTCATTACTTTCGATTTTAACCCAAATTTTATTTAATTTTTTTTTTTTTCCGTTAAACTTTTTTTTTTTTTTTTTTACCGTCAAGTTCGATGCCCTTTCATCCGAGTTTTTGTTGTCATATTACATCACACTCAACACTTCCCGTTTATTTTTTTTTTAACTCGTTTTTTTACTTATTATTATTATTATTATTATTAACAATAAATTTATTTATTTATACATCCTCGTTATTAATATTATTAATTTAATTTTTTTTACGAAAATAATAATGATAAACTCGCACTTTTAATAAAAATTTTATTTTATTTATTTTTTTTTATTTAAAATGTAAATAAATATACTATTGCTGTTAACGAACCGAAATAATAATAATAATAATAGTAAATAAATAAATAAATAAATAAAAATTTTTTAAATAAAAATGAGTTTGGTATTCATTGTCGCGGAGTAAAATGTGGCAGCTCGCGAAAGCGTAGAGAGAGAGAGAGAGAGAGAGAGAGAGAGAGAGAGAGAGCAGTGTCATGTGCAATCGTTTCTAAAGTCGTTGACCCCCAAAGCTGGCTCCCCGTCTATCTCTCTTTCTCTCTCTTTCTTTCTCATAGCATTTAAAACCTTCTCTCTTTTATAAATTTTTTTTTTTTTCGCGTGTGTTTGTGTTTTTGTGTGTGTGCGTGTGCGTGTGTGCGAAATGAAATCAAACGCGACAAATTAAATATTTTTCAATTTATTTTCTCTTTTTTTTTTCCTAATAATAATAATAATAATAATAAATCGATTATTATTATTATTTATTCGAACGAATTGATTTTTAATTGATCGATCGATCGATTTATTAATTTCGTTCGTTTTCCACTCCCCTCCTCTCCACACTCCTCCCTTCTCTGTTTTATAGGGTTGCACGTACTCGATACTCGTTTATTGCGAGTACGTAAATTAACCGGATTTTCTCGCCCCGCCCCCGCCTCCACCTTCGCTTCCGCCCCACCCCCTCCTCTCTCTCCTCCCCTAAATTAAAAATTATTTACACACGCACACACGTATAATTTTGTATGAATAAGAAAAACAGATAGAGAATTTTCTTTAAAATTTTCAAAAAAAATTAAAACAAACGCGACATGCGATTGAAAATAATAATAATAATAATAATAATAATAATAATAATAATAATAATAATAATAATATCGTTTATTAATTAAAAATAAATTTATTATTATTTATTAATAAATACTATTTATATATATGTATTTTTTATATTATTCAAAAAAAAAGGCTTTTTATGTATTTTGTTGTTATCGATCTCGGTTTTGGTTTTTTAAATAAGAACTCGCCATAATTTTTTTTAAACGATGTCTTCTTGTGTGTGTGTGTGTGCGCGCGTGCACGCAAGTAAATGAAAAAAGTAAGAAACTATTTATATATTTATTATTTTACGCGATGCCGTGAATTTTTAAAACGACAAGGCTACTTCACACTAACCTCGAAAACCTACGTCTCGTTAACAAAAAAAAATTCGGATTTTCAATCTTTTATTTTAGTATGACTACTACTATTACTATCACTACTACTACTACGTATGTGTATTCAATGATTTGTAACAAAATAAAAAAATAACCGACATTTTCAATAATTTTTAATAATAATAATAATAATTAAAAATAAATGAAAAGTCCGTTGGCTTTTCCTTATATTTTTTACTAAACAATAAATAAAATTTTTTCTTTTGATTTTGGTTTTTTTTTTTCTCTTTTACTATAATTGTCAAGGGCATTATTACATAAATCAATGACTTTGAGTTATAACTACTACGTATACACAAGATATTAATTTTATAAATTTAGAATCTTTTTTTTTCTTTTTTTTTTTATTTAAACATTGCACAAAACGAGAGAGAGAGAGAGAGACTAATAATATATATGTATATTAACCTCATTCGTGGTGGTAATAATGAACGAGAAAAAAAATAAATAAATAAATAAATAAAAATGGGTAATAATATTAATAATGATTATTACACGTGAGAAAATTTCATTCATAAAATAAAGTATGTATATACATATAAAAAAAAAAAATTCCTGCTTGAAAATATTCACATAATCAATATGTATATATGTGAGTGAGTGTATATATGTAAATAGCACCAAAATCGTTCAAGATGAAAAAAAAAAAAATTTAATAATAATAATAATAATAATAATAATGATTACGTAAAATTTATCCTCTTCCCCCTCCCTTCCCCGAACCTTTTCCCCTCCCCCTTTCCGACCCTTTTTCCGGTACCGACAAAATTTCATTTAAAAAAAAAAAAAAAAAAAAAAACAATAAATAATAAATTTTCTTTTCGTTTTTCCTTTTCCTTATCCATGTTCAAAATTCATTCAATGAATTTTCCACGATAATAAATTATTTCATTTACGATGAATGACCGAATCGATTCATCCTCCTCCCGAACGCAACGATGATAATAATAATAATAACGACGATTATTTTTTTTTTTTTTTTTTAATTGATTGTTTTTATAAATTCTATGGCGGATGAAAATTGAGTCCACCAATATTGTTCCTCCCCTTCCAATCTCGATCCGTAAAAACTATCAACGTATTGCACCGTGGATAAAAGCGCTGGAGGATTCGCCTGAAATCAATGATAATAATAATAATGATAATAAAATGGATCGATCGGGAAAAAATAAAAAAAAAACCGAAGCGAATTTTCAACGACTCTATTATTATTGCTAGTCTCAGCACTCATCAACACTCACTGCGATCAAAACGAAAACCAAAACAGGTACGAAATCATCGGCCGCAGGTACGTTTCCATCGACAGCCATCGATAGTAAATTCATTATGGTTGTGGCGCAACGACAAATGCAAGAGACTTTATCCTTAGGAGTTTTATATGCTGCAAGGGCGGATATTTCAGCCTGAGCTGAAGGCCAGGGGCATTCCACGTGAAATATCTAAAATTTATTATTATTATTATTATTATTATTATGAAATCGAGGTTGTTGTTTGTTGTTGTTGTTGTTGTTATTGATGCATTTGCTATTTTGAACGGCCTTGACGCGACCTAAATAAACGGACCGACTCACCTTCGGAATTTGAAGAGCTTTATGATTTGGTGTAATTATCGAGGCCAAGTTTTTCATGTGCTCGTGTAAGACACTGTTAACAAACGCGTATTTAAAGTGCATTAATTTACTTTTTGTATTGTTCGTACATTTTTTTATTTAGTGTAAATGTTTTAAAAAAATGAAGAGAAAATACTTACTGATCTCTATATCTGTCCACGTCTCCATTGGGATACAATGCGTACGGATACACTCTACTAATGATCGCAGTTTCAATTATTGATCTTGCTTGTTCGAGTTGTGCATCGTTTGCACCTGAAAATAAATAAATAAATAAATAAATTAATTAATTAAAAGTTTTTCTTCCCCCTCCCCCCTCCCCCCCGGGAATCAAAGGAATACCGATCCAATTGTGATCTTTTTCCAATTGATGAGACAACTCCATTAAAAACTTATCGAGCAAATCCGTTTTCTCGTCGGGCAACGACAACTGTTGAAATTCTTTCGAAAAAGATCGGCAAATGTCTTCTCTTCTCTCCAAAAATATCCGAACACATAAGGCAACTAGGAACTTTTGACAGACCCTGCTGTCCGATTCTACTCTTTCGATCATTCTTTCGAAATGCGCTATGGAAGACAAAAGAGTCTGCCTGGATCGCACGAGGTAAGCAATGTACGGTGCACGATTTTGATAATCTTCTTTCAGGGATTTGAACAGTCTTCGGCAACCTTCGTAATCGAACAACCTCACGCAACGCAGAGTTTCTTGCAGCTGAGACACCAACGATCGATTTTGCAAATTAACCGCTTCCGCTAATTGAAGTTTCAGAAAAGAAACCAATTGATCTTCTGACTAAAGAACAAAAAAAATGATTCTTGTTTCGTCTTCTTTTTTTTTTTTTTTTTTTTTAAATGAAAATATGTTGGTACGCTTGACTATTAAATAAAAAAAAAAAAAAAAAAACTTACAACAACGGATCCAGAATTGTAAATGTGCAAATCAGAATTGCACAAAACAAGTCTTAATTTTCTCTTTGCATTTATAAAAAGAGATTCATCGGATAAACCTTCGTCTTCGTCTGCTTCAATTAATTTTTTTTCAATTAAATCGGTTGGTACTAAAACTTCTGCTTCCGTCGCAGGTTTATTCCTATATTTAGCTAAAATGTCTTCGATTGCATCTGAATAGGAAAACATGTCAAACATATCAAACATATTTACAAATTTTACTATAAATGTAAATGTGAGATAATAATGATAATCACCTCCACCATTTTGTACACCTTTTTCTTCTAGAGTTTCCTGTTCGTTGCTATTTTTGGCTCCGTTGAAAATTTTGAAATTTCCAACGGAAATATTTTCCTCGAATCGACCCAAATCCTCTCCCTTAAAATGTTTTATTTTTCTACTTTTGAAAGACATTTTTAAATTTCTAAAAAATCCTTTTCTTTGTTTTTGATCTTCGTCTAAAAACTCCTTTAAAAAAAAAAAAAAAAAAAAAAAATTTCGAATTAAAAATAAATCAATTTTTTTTTATGTCTACTGCATCGTTGCATCGTTGCAATTATGTACCTTATCACCTCTTTCTGCTGTCTTATCAAAACTAATACTTTTTGGAATGGCTCCAGTTACGCTAGCATTTACTTTCTCAATATTTCTTACTACTACTGGTTGCGGCTGAGCTGCAGTTCCCGAATTACTTCCGCTGCTGCTAGTGGATGCTAAACTAGTTGAACTTAAGAAAACCTTTTCAGATTCATCTCCCTGTCGGAGGGGGGAAGGGAAAAAGAAAACATCAAAATAAGCAAATAAGAAAAATTTACATTCAAGTTATTATTGTTTGATTTCTTATTTATTCTTAATTTAATTTTTTTTTTATTTATTTTATTTTTGTGTTTGCTCTTGTCTCACTTACCTCTTGCTTTAATTTCATTTCATTAAATTTATAAGGTAACGCGTAAGAAACTTGAGGTTTGGAATTATTTAAATATGCAGAATTTGAAGGCAAGTGTGAGGAAGAAGCAAATGCATTAGATAATAAGGGGGAAGGTGGAGTAATGTCGCTGTCGTCGAACAGAGCGGATGCTTCTTCGCTGACGTCATTATTTCCGTCAGGTAAAACGCGCAATCCGATTTCCTGTTCGACAACAGCCACAGTAGAATTATCTACGGATACTTTTTGTGAACGGTCATTAGGCACTAAATTAGCTTCGGGAAGAAGATTTTCGATACCATTAGATAGAGATTGCAACTGGGATGGTTGAGGTGATCTGGAACGAGGCGCAGATCCACTCCTTCCATTTCTCATTGGACCATTTGTTTGAACCGCAGATTTTGTGTCCATCTTGTCAATGACGTGTATCATTCTATTACTATCCACATTATTCGTGCCTGAATTAAGGAAAATTATTTGTCGTATTAAAATTTTTCCCTTAAAAAGAAAAAAAGAAAATTTGATAAAAAATTAAAAATTTACTCGATTTACTAAAGTTTCTAGCTATGCCAGAATCGACGAACTCTATAGTTCTCCTTCGATAATCCGACTTAACTCCTCCTCTTCCGGTTACATTCCACATATCAGCTCGAGTTGGTGAAGGAGGAACATTTAAGGAAATTCTATTAGAAGAATCCTTTATGGGACGAAACGCACTGTTATGCGGAGGTGGAGTTTCTCCACCATCGACCTCTCCCCTCATACCAAACTCTGAATGAGCTGTGTCATCTGATCGAGCGACGCTAGCCGTATCATCTGACCGGGCCACACTTGCAGTATCATCCGTGTCAACTTCAGTCAATCTTTCGGAATCAGATGTGAGAACGTCTGTGCTCCAGGCTTCAGACGCCGTTTCGGAAACATCCAAAGAATGCTAAAAAAAAAAGTTAAAATTCGAAAATTTTTATGCAAAATTTTTTTTGAAGTAATTAGTTTTTATTTACTCACTTGAATAAATGGATGAGAAGGTACGTCAACTTCAGGAGGTCGAGGAAAATTTCTTTCGGACTGTTCGACAGTTTCACTATCACTTGCTAATACATCAGTGCTCCAAGTATCACTAACCAAAGACTTTGTTTCATCACCTAACACTTCCTGCTTCTTTATTTCAAATTTTCCAAATTTATCATCAATGTCGGATCGGGTTTGTTTTGAAACAGATGGAACGACTTGTCGATGTTCGGTGACATTACCCCGAATTTCTTCTTCTCCTCCGCGACCTTCATCTCCTTCGGTAATTTGTGACGATGGAGTATCACGTCCTTAAAAACAAAAAAGTTTTAATTTAACAAAATAAAAAGGAGGGTAATTATATATGAAAATTTAGCTTTAAAACGAACCCGATATATTGGGTGTTCCTCTACCAGATACATTTGCAGAAACCATGTCTGATAAGTTATCATTTTGATCTTCATTTTCTGATTCCAGCGATGAAGCTCCACTGTGATTAGAAGCGGCTTCTGACACAGCTTCAAGATTATCACTAGTGTTTCCAATTGATCCCTCGTCATGAGAAAGAGAAAATCTAAAAGAAAAACAAAATTTAAAAAAAAAAAAAAAAGATTTTCTTAAAAAAAAGAAAGCTATGAAATTTACCTAGTGCGTTTCTCTTGTCCCTCTCCTCTTGATTCTACATCAGATTTTCCTAATGTCTGGTCTCCCTTCACGCCAATGGAAATGGCATCAGCTTGTCTTTTGACTTCAACCTCTAAAACTTTCTGTTCTGGTAAAAGTCCAACCGGTTCTCCATCTCTTCCAGATAAAGGTATTACCAAAATTTGTAACGGCTGTTCTTCTTCTGCTTTAGAATCATCAACATTGTCAAGATTTCCCAATAAATTAGCACCTAAAGCTGAAGTATGATTTCTTTGGCGATTAACTGTAAAGAAAAAAAATTTTAGACTTTTTTTTTTAAAACTACATTTTATACAATTAACCATTAAACACTCATTATTTGTAAAAGGGTTAATACAAAATTTATTTTTGTGCCACCTAATGTAATAGTAACCTTTTTATTTAAAAAAAAAAAAAAAAAAAAAGAATCGAAAGAAAAATTTTGCATGAACCTTTACTCAACAAAACAGAAGATTTCCTTAAAAGGGAAGATTCTTGACTGCTGCTAGCACTGTTCATGGATTTTTCAGATTGATGTTTTGGAGTAGAACTTTTGTAACCATTTGTCCACGTCGGTGGTAGTCTTGATATTAAATTTTCTAATTGTCTTTTATCAAAAGTATCATTTTCACTTTTTAATATATTTTGAAAAAATTTGACCTGAAATTTACACAGTTTTTTTTTTTTTTTTATTAGTAAAATTATAAAGAGTAATGTGTTTTAAAACTCTTAACATGTTTTTTTTTTTTTATTAAAAAAAAAAATTATTACCAAATTATTAAGTTCACAGTGAGTAAATAATGCTGCTGATCTTAATATTCCTTCTATTTCGGTATTGTCTTCATTCGGAGGTGGTTCATCAAGAGTTTCACTATAATTACCCAAAATTCTATCGAGAAAACTAGATACAGAATCCTGGAAAATAATAATTGTGTAAACTTCAAGGTGTATATAAATAAAAGAAAGAATATGTAGTGTATATAAGAAAACAAAACTTACAGAATGGAACTTATCATACAGGTCAGCAACTTTACCATCAATTTCTTGATATTTTCTCATTGCTAACATTTGTAAAATTTGAGCTACTTGCATAAGATTAAATCTAGCTATATAACCAATTGGCACATCAGTTATTCCATAAGGCTCTGGATTAACAACAGCTGGACAGATAAAGTATGTAAATACTAAATCAATGCAAATTTCATATATCTAAAAAAAAATAAAAACAAGTTAGCGAAAAGTATGAAAACATTAATAAATTTAATAATAATAAAGTTACCTCTTTTTCACCCAAATAGCCGGATTTTCTAAAAAGTCCAGCCATTTGCCTAACAAGCCAACAAACACTGGTAGGAAAGCAATGCATGTTTTCTTGTAAACTGAATATAAAATTATCAGTTAAATTCACTAATTTTTTTATGATCCATTCCCTATGTTTTTGAAGTTTAGCTGTATAATCAGGTGTACCCTCTAAACCAAATTTTTTTATTCTCTCCTCATTTGGAAATCTAATGACAGCTTTATCTGGATCAATGTCTAAAAACATTTCATCCTCCATGAGTAATTTTATTATTGGATAATGCAAGGCAGCGGTTAAAAATAATTTTGCAGAGTATAAATTTTCATGGAACAAAGAATAAAATCGAGCAAAAGCACAGGATCCATGTCTTAACATTCTTCTTGGGTTTTCCGAAGGCACAAGTTGTAAAGCAGTTAATTTTTGCAGCAATTTGAGTACTGTAATTTTGTCTTCCGGTAATAAACAACTGCCAAACAAACCACCAGAAAGAGAATAAACAATTTCCGGCATTGAATCGGGAAAAATTTTATCACCAACACTCAAACAATTTGCAACAAGTTCAACATTGCTTTGTAATATGCTTAAGAATTCACCATACGCTAATGCATCTTGATATCCGATAATTTTATATGCATCAACAAAAACTACATTTTCCGCAGTGAAATTTCTCTGACTTAATAGAGCAGGCAAACAGTCAACTTTGGCCAAAATTAAATGATTAAGATTTATTCTTTGGTGAGATGAAATCCATGCCAATTGAGCAAGATTTTTAGATACATCTTTCAATTTTTCATTTAATATTTTTAAACTTTGTTGTTCTGAGGATGTAAACAATCTTTCTCTTCTTAAATGTGAAGCCAAATCACTAAGTTCCCAGTTACTTAACATTTTAAAAATAATTCAACTGAAAATAAATAACGTAAAAATATGTTACTTTCTTTCAAAAAATTTATTTACTTTTGTTTACAATTGATCGAGGTCAATATTTTGACACAGAATAACTAAATATAAAAATTCTAACAAATCACCATAACTAATAAATAAATACTATCATGTACATAAATCAAAATTCTTCGTATAACGTATATAAATGTAAAAAATATTTCAGCTAAGCTTAGCTGCTTGTATTAACAACAAAAAAGTGACGTTAGAGTAACCACTCATATTTTATTTAGGTCAATGTAATAAAAACATTAAATATTATTATTATTTTTAAAAAAAATAACTTTGATTTGCATCTTTACTGTTTAATCAAATAAGACAGAATAATACCATTCAACGTTTTGTTTAATCACAAGAAAAAAAAAAAAAAAACAGAAATATAAATTGAGTGGGAGTTTCCTGGACAAGTGACCTTGACAAAAAAAAAAAAAATAACACAATGCACTTGGCAGAAAGAAACTTGCAAATACAATCGAACCTTTTTTTTTTTTTTATATATAAATAATATTTAATAAAAACAAAATTATTTAACCATTTACTATATTTAACAACTTCATAAATATAAACAAATAATAACGGTATAAAACCACATTGTAATTAAAACTTAAAGAGTGCGTTCTTTCTTAAATTTCGGCCGCTACAAATTTGAAGTTGGAGTAACGACAAAAATCCCTGACGAATAATAATTTTCATTCATTAAATCCTATCGATAAAGAAAAAATTTTTTTTTGTCAAATTTTATTAGTAGGAAATAGACAAAATAATAATTTTAAAACTGTTTTATTATTTATTGATCTTAAAAAAAAAAAAAAAATAATAACTTGGAATAAAAAAATATAAATTCCAATAAATATTTTCAAAAATGTAAATGATTCGTTTTCAAAAATTATAAATTTTTATCAGTTTTTGAGGTCAACAGTTATTACTGCATCAAAAAAAATCTAATTTTATTTTTTGATTTTAATTTTTATTAGGAAAAATAATCCGTGAAAAATCGAAAATGATTATTGGTTATAAAAAAAAAAGAAAAATTTATTCGAAATTATATTTACAACAACGACAGATAGAATCGAATATGAGCTTACGTATTCGCTATACTAAGGAAAACAAGTTAGATTGAAGTAAAACTTTTTTCACATCAATTACGCACCAAACGCATATCGTATCATTTACGCATTTTTAAAACGATTATTTAAAAATTTTAACTTTCGAAAAAAAAAAAACTGTTAAAAAATAAATAATTATTAATTAACGTTAAATAATTAAAATAAAATATAATACTTTTCATTATTTAACGAACTTATAAAAAAAATAATTAAAAAACTAATGAACAATGTGAATATGACGAACATAATGACTTGGCACTTGCCGACAACCACTTGTCTAGAAGGAAGGAAAAATTTTAAGTCGCAATCAAAGTTCTAATTTATTTAAGGACGGTTGTATTTTTAAATTAATGTTGTTTATCCTTATCAACCTATTGTATTATTTACATTAATAACTAATTTTTTTTTACTTTTATCGAAAATATGGAAGAAAAACCAGTTAAACTTTTTACAAGAAATGATGTTAGTAAGAGTAAAAACAGTAAATCTACTCAAATAATTATACATAATATTGTTTATGATGTAACTGAGTTTTTAAATGAGGTAAGTTATTTCCTTTTCTTTTGTTAATAAAATTAAAATCAATTAAGAAATTACAGGTGAAAATATATCCCATTAATATGAAAAATATTAATAAGTGATAAGCAACAATGTGATTTATTTGCAAAAAAAAGAAATTGATACTAAGGGTTAAGTAATTATTTCTTTTGGTTTTGTTGCCAAGTTAAAAAAAGTATTTTTTGTCACCTCAAAGATATTAATTATGTAATTCATTAAACATGTTAGATATTATAATGTGATTTTTAAAAAATCACACACAAGAGTTTCGAAAAGAAAAAAGAAAAAGAAACATTGATTAATGTAATTGTAATTAATTATTGCTCATTTATCATATTCAAATATTTAATGTTTATTATTATTATTATTATTCCAGAAGATTCTTAATACTTTTAACGATAAAAAATTTTTTATTTTACATTTAAAAGCACCCTGGGGGTGAAGAAGTACTCTTAGATCATGCAGGAAAAGATGCAACAGAGGCTTTCGAAGATGTAGGTCATTCGAGGGATGCCAGAGATATGATGAGTAAATACAAAATTGGGGAACTTAATGAGGTAAATATTATTATTATTATTATTATTATTTTTTTTTTTAAAAAATTTCTTTTCGAATAATTTTTTTAAATATTTTTACTCAAGTTAAAAATAAACATTCAGCACATGTTTCTCGCTCTAATTTTTATATGTAAATGTTTAACTGTTTGAAAAAAAAAAATTTTACGCTATAACATGCCTTCAAGCATTTAATTTTAAACTGTAAAAATGTAATTAATACACACACACACACACACATGTATATCGTTTTTCCTTATTTTTACATTCAGAAACATTTTTTTAACATGTCGAATGTATTTTACACAGAGTATATAAATTTTATTCGAATGCAAAAAATCAAGTTGTTGTCGTTGTGGGTGTAAATACTTTTTTCTTTTTTTTTTTTTTAAATTATTTTAAAATCATTAAAATTAATTAAAAAATTTTATAACCTCATTTGTGAAAAAGTTTTCCTTTTTTTTTAATTTGAGAGAGAGAGAAAAAAAATTTATTGTTGATTTTTTTATTTTAATTAAACAACACCACCGAGTTATTATTATATAACAATAACCACTTAATGACACTTCTACTTAACTGTAAAGAAAAAAACTTTTTTTTCTTCATACAACTTTGTACAATAATAATAATTACAACACAAAAGTGTGTATGTGTGTGTGCGCGTGTGCGTGTAAACCAAGGCGTCTCATTAAATTATTTTGGGTTAATTTCTTTCTTTTTTTTTTTTTTTTTTTTCTCAAAAAACCTTTTTCTTAACATTTTTTTAATTACTTTATCAAATTAACATTTTCACCGTTATTTTATTTTATATAAAGAATTAAAACTTAATTTTATTATTATTATTATTATTAACTGACCAAAATTTAAAAAAAATTTTTTTTTTTTATAGGGAGTACAAAAAAAAAAATGAGAAGCCTAAGGTGAAGGATTAACAACCCAAAAAATATTAACCTTCTTTAAATTTTTTTGTTTTTTTTTGTTTTTTTTTTTTGCTAAAAATTTTTATTTATTTTATTTATTTTGAGATAAAAATGGCAAAATTCAACAGTCAATCTATTAAAAAATTTATTAAATCCATAAAAAAAAAAAAAAACTAACAACTATTAACTATTTATTGTATTTATTTATTTATTATTTAATTTAATTATTAATTTATTTTTATGTTTAATTTTTAAATAAAAGCATTTATTACCTTTAAAGTAAAAAAGGAAAAAAAATTCTGCCCCCCCCATCTTCCCCCTCCCCCCTAAAATTTATTATTATTATTTTTATTATTATTAATAAATTATAAATAAAATTTACGACTTTATTCGTTATCAAATTTAAAACCGAATTTTATGATTTTACGGATATTAAAAAAAAAAAAAGGAAAATAATAATAATAAAATAAATAAATAATAATAATAATTACCTAAAACATTTTTTTTTTTTACATATACCTGGGGAGAAGGGGAGGGAAGGGGAGGAAGAGGGTAGGAAGTTTAATGGGGAATTAAATGGTCATTATTAAATGGATTAATGACGTCATAGATTTAAAAAAAAAAAAAAAAAAAACATTTTTCCCGTCTATGTAATTTTAATTTCGAATGATTATTATCATTATTATTATTGTTGTTTTTTTTTTTTTATATTTACAGGAAGAAAAAGTAAAAACGACCGAAAAAACAATTAGGGATTGGGTAGAGAAAAAAAATGACGATCATAGGTAAGTTTTTCCGACATTTTTCCGACAGAAAAAAAAAAAAAAGGAAAAAAGAAAATTACCTTTCGTTGGTTTTTCTTTTGCACGTCCTGTCGTCGTTTTCTTTTCTTTTCTTTCTACTTTTTATTAAGACGTAATTACTTAAGGTATTATTATTATTATTACGTAATTGTCGTCTGCTGTATAATTTTCTTTTTTTTTTTTTTTTTTTTTTTTATTACGGAAGTAAAACGACGAGAGCTGTAAAAAAAAAAAAAAAAAAAAATTAATTATTTTCAATTTTATAGACGTAGTAAAAAAAAAAACCCCCAACGCCCGGAAATTTTCTTTTTTTTTTTTTTTTTTTTTTTTCTTTTTGATTTATTAATCATGAATAATAATCATTAAAAAAAAAAAAAAACAGGTTAATTATTTTATGGTTTATAAATCGAATATTCATAATTTTTTTTTTTTTTCAACGTTGAAGGAAAAACCGCAAAAGAAAAATGTTTTCCTTCTCTCTCTCTCTCTCGCTTTCGACAATCGGAAAATTTTTTACGACATTAATTAATATCGTGACGTTTTCGAAAGATAATTTTTTTAATTCGATTCGATTGAAAAAAAAAACGGAAAAGTTTTTTTAATTTTAAAACCGAGATGGAAGAAGAAGAAGAAGATAAAGATGAAAATGAGAAAAGAGATGAAGAAGAGGAAGAAGAAGAAAAAAAATAAGAAAAAGAAGAAGAAAAATTGACGTAATAAAAAATAAAAATGATTTCATTAAAAGCGAACTTTATTCTCGACCGAATCGAAAACCGGAATTTGATTATTATTATTATTATTATTATCATTATTATTTTTCATGTCGAGATGCGAGAAATCCGTACAAAAAAGAAAA